ACCAAGCTTCGTGCAACATGACTCTACAGAAAGTTAAAGTTGCAAGAGTCTATGCAGTAGCCATTAAATGCTGAGTTGTACAGTTGCTGAAGGTATTCCCAAAAATAAGGAAGTTTGCTAGCTGACTTTATGTATGATAAAGTTAACAGGCTGTAAAACAATGCTAATACTATGCATAAGAACCAAGCAAAAAGTACAGCAGGATTTGTAAAAAAGTTTGATTTGATTGAGTGTCATCAAGGAAAAACTAAAGGACATGAGTCCATCCAAATACTATGTAATGTAACTTGGTTTGTTTTCTAAAACATGTACTGTAGGAAATGGAAAGAAAAGTAACTATTAAAAGTTGCTGCCATTAGTTGATGGGGGTTGACATTTTAATTAGAATGCATTCAAGGTAATGATGCAGGTAGGAAAAAAAACTTCAGGCAAGGTATTGAGAAGTAGACAATGTTAAGCCATAGTAAATGTCGATGTTGCATAAAACAAAGTACTTGTGTTGGCAGACCCTTTAGAACCATATATAATTAATACATGACAAATCAAAATTGAAAATAGAAGGATTAAGGAAAGTCATATTAAGATGAATTATTAAAAGTTCCAGAAGTTAAAGTTGGTAATGATATAGAAAGACAATTGTTTTATTGGTGATTAAAATCATGTAGAAACATTATAATTATCAAGACCTGAAATTCATAAGTCTAAGTAAGATAAGGATCAGTTATTTGGTTTGTCTCCAAATATACAAAAGCAATTTGTATTGTGTTTCAAATGAACTTGTTCATATGGTCAATTTATCAGTGTAAGTTTCATACCAAAAATGGATAGACCAAATTCAGAATATCATTGTTTGCAAAAGAAGCATGTCTGATTCATATTACATAATACATAAGTTTGTGCATAAGGGAGTACATAAGATTGAATTCAACAAAAGTAGTTAACATAGTTGTGCAGAAGTTTGGAATGAATCCTTACATAAATGATCTTAACAAAATATTTGAATCTAACACAAAATGAGATACTCACTAAAGAGTCACTCCTTCTTGAGGTGCTTCACCTTGGTTGCTGAATTCTTTGGAATCAGGACATCATCTTGCAAAAAATCATCAGGAAAAGTAGGAATGGCAGCCCTCTTAGCCGGTGTGTTGCTAGAGCAAGTGGATGGACTGCAAGTTTGGGTGGCAGAAATTTCTGGATGTGTGTTGTAGTGTTGGCCAGAAGATTGGGTTGGGTAGACAAAACAAAACTAAATGGTCAATATTTTATGCCTGTAGTACACAAAAGTATTTTGGAAGTTTTGCAACATGTTAAGAAAGAAGACATACAATTGGTTCAAGTTCCATATCCATAGCATGCTCTGTATCAGTTTTCAAAAAGGCAGCCTTAGAGGTATGCTGCCAAAACATAAGAGCACAAATTGAAATCAATCAGTTATGTTCAAAACATGATAAATTTGAAAGTTTACGCATTATGACTTCATTTCCACAACCAAATTGTACCTCATCCGGTTTAAGGGCTTCAGATAATGTTTTGTAAACACCAGGATCGTTAAGGATAGTAACAATTGAGAATTGATTGAAAAAAGATTGATATTTGATTCTAAATGCAAATTGTTGATCCAAAAGTTTGTCTAGGTGTATGGGATAAATTTTTGGGTTATCCTCTCCAGCCTTGATGAATAATCACATCAGAAATGTAAAGTTGGTGAGTAAAATCATGAATAAGAGAAACATGGTAATCAAATGAATAATGTATTTACCTCCTTCACTACTTGTCTCAATTCCCTAGCAGTCATAGTAACATATGGAATAACATCTTTATCCCAAAACACAAAGCATCCAACATGATTATCAAACTCGACTTCTACCTCGATCTTGTATCTATGCCATGAAAACAAAAGCAGTTCAAGTATGTAAAACAGGATGCAAAGTTATAATTGAAGGTATAAAAATTAGGATATAGAAAAATTACTTTGTCACAGGTTCAACATCTTTGACTCCACAAACACATATGAATTTGGTGGCAGTGGACTTGTTTGATGTCTTATAACTGGGGCAAGCCTCAAAATACCAGCCATGCTTTGATGCCTTAAATCTCTTGGTAGTGCCAATGGTCGTGGCAAAACAATCCTAGTTTGACATCACAAAAAGTTAGTAGATATTTGAAGAAATAATTAAGGTTGTAACGATAATTTAAAAGCTGACCTTGCCGATTTCACAAATGTGACAGATACTCTTGACCTCATTAGAGTTTGTCCAACTTTTGTTGTCAGACTGCACAAAGGATTCAGAAGTCTGGGTTATAGAATGAGTTGGTGCAGCAACTGAAACTGTGGATCCTAGCCTGGAAAGTTTATGTAGAAACAAAGATAAAGAATCAAATCAAAGTAAACCGAGTTCAGCAAAACTTTAGACAAGTATCTAACTGTTTAATGTAGGAACATACTTGGTTTTAAAATCGAGAACTTGGGGATGCTCCAAGTTGATGTGGAGTCTTGATCCATTCCATGCATTAGATAGGCTAGGCAATCTAGATGTTGCTTGACAAAATTCAGACATTAAGTTATTGAATTGATAAACATAGCATGCATATTACATAATGATGCTGTTTGTAAAAACTTGAGACTAAATATTACTACTAACCGAACATGCTGGTACAAAAATGGACATGCTGAACTTGTATTACATGGGATAATTTTGAAAGGACGGGTTGCATTATTATTTGAGACAAGTTCATTGTCACTTTGTTATCTAGTTATGTCCTATTAATACATTTAAGCTTGCAAGAGTCATCCATTTCAAAAGTGCACATTGCAATGGATACCAACAAAATGCAGCATACAAATGTTTCAAGAACACAAAAATCTATAAAATAATTTGTGAATTACAAAAGTCAGAATGGTAAAGGAGAAAGTTTTATGATACATCAGCGGAAAAAAACAATGGACATGTTGCTACATATGTTACTACTAAATGATGGACATGTTGCTACATCAGTAGAATAAAACAATGGACATGCTGCTATATATGTTACTACTAAACAATGGACATGCTGCTACAACAATGGAAAAAAAACAATGGAAATGCTGCTACATATGCTTCTAAAGAGCACACTGCAATGCATACCTACAAAATGTAGAGTCAGTTATTTGAAGAACAAAAATATCAGTTCTTGCATATGTATCACAATAACTTTGTTACCTTGATTTTGCTTGCACCATGCATGTGTTAAGACAATGAGTGTTGGTCCGAGAAACTTGTTGGAGCTATTATAGCTCATGAACTGTTTACCGTAATCATCCCATAACGCAACCTCAATAATATTTTCAGCTTCATCTCTTAGAGTGATGTTGGCACATGATTTCTTACCACCACCGCCCATTTGCGTCTTCACAACATCTTGTAAAACCCCGACGACATCTGTAATATATGAGAATGAGAAAAAGTGACAATGTTTTCATATGTATCATATGTTGTTAATTCAATATCCATTTAGTATGACAAATAGCAATATACACCATATGTATAATATGAATACACCTCACCATATAAGAGATCAGTGATGAAATTTCCAGTGAGAAAGTCGACAATTGGCTTAAACTTGAATTGGTATTTCGGTATTTTGGGTATTGGCAATTTCGAAACAGTCGTTCCTCCATTGAAGACAAGTTTTAACTTGTTGGGGTAAACTTTGAAAGTGCCATCATTAGTCATTGGCTCTCCATTGTAAAGGCAATAAGTGTCATGTTCAGTTAGCTGTTCAGACCAGTCTTTAAACTCACGGTTCCGAGTTGTGACATGGATTTGATCACCCTACAAAATGGGTAAATATTCAAGGAAATGGACAATAATAATATAGAAACAGAGCAGGTAATGATTACCTGTGAGTCTTGAATCACCAATTCGAAATGTTGCAGTCCAGTTTTCTCCTTCACAATCCAAAGATCAACAACTCTAATGAGCATTTTCCAAACTTGTTTCCCTTTCTCCAAGTCCTTGATGAGTATTGGGGGTCTTGACATGGTTGCTTAGAAACATAAAAGAGAAAAAATTGCTCAGGTGAATGGACATTAATCAATATTCATATACCTTACAACTTCACAACTGCTTAAATAATTTCTGTGTAAGCAAAAACAATATATTAATAAAAACATGTTTTCATGAAAACAACCTGCATATTTTATAGTGTAAACCAAAGAAGAGTTTGCAAAACAACAAAAAATACAATGAAACGAACCAGAAGACCAACATATGTTAGGTTGGAAAACAACAACAACAATGTTAGCAGAAGTTTGATGTTAGCAGAACAACTTGTCACAGACGAACCATAACAACTTGGAACAACAATGTAAACTTGCAAAACCCCAAAAGATGTTAGCAGAAGTTTGATGATGTTTGTGGGGAGGAGGGAGCGAAATCGTGTGAGTATAAGAGGTTTTATGGGTAACTCAATGTTCAGATGTTTGTAGGGAGGAGGGAAACAAAGTTTTGATGCATCCAATACACACTTGACAGATGGCAATAGAAGAGGGAAATGAAAGAGATGATTTTTGTCATTTAGCTGTTTACTATTTTGTCCAATATATAATATAATTAATTATAAAAGAAAGGGCAGTGAAATAATTTTGGACAATCTTTTTTTTAAGTGTTGATAGTTGAAGAAAAAATTAAATTAAAAAAAGATTTTGTGCATCAATATAAAATTAAGAATTAGAGAAAAATATAGAGAGACAAAAACAACCGATCCAAATCAGACACGAAATTTTCACCCCTTCCCGGGTAAGAATCTCTCTCTCTCTCTCTCTCTCTCTCTCTCTCTCTCTCTCTCTCTCTCTCTCTCTCTTCTCTCTCTCTCTCTCTCTCTCAATCTTTTTTTTTTCGAATTCAAATTTCATTTTCACCGATTTCTATTTCTCTTCCTCTCAAATTCCTTAAACCAATTCATCAATTGTAGATTGCAGAACTTTCAATTTCGTTTCGAAGTAGAAACGCCTGAACCACATGCAAATGGTATGTGTATCGCTCTTTTTTGTGCTGTTTCTTCAATTCGCTGCTATCTGTTTTTCATAATCGATTTGTGTTTGTTTGAATTGAATGGCTTGGGATTAAGTGAATTGTAATTGAAAACTGTGTTTATGATTATGGACTGTGTGGATGTTCATAGGTTTATGCTTACATTGTGTCAGTGATTACTAGGGTTTTTATTGGAGAAGATGGTGAAATTTGGTATTGGAATGTTGTTTCAAATTGAATGTTGAAATTTGGTTACTGTGTTTTTGTGCTTGAGCTGAATAATATTGTGCATTTATTATACTATATAGTAGTAATGTTAAACCAGATAGAGAAAATCTACAAGTTAGGAAATGTTGGCTTTAGGTTATTTATGGAGATGTTTCATACACCTTTGTCAAATAACACGCTGTAATGTAGCGGAATTTGAACAAACCACTGTTGTTCTATGATATTCGATTTAGTACAAGTTTTGTCAAATAGATGTGCTATAGTATGGCAAAATTTCAATAAGTCGGTATTTTATGCGATTGGATTGAAAACACTGGTTTCATAGTTTGTTTGAGTCCCGGTCTTTTTAACTTGATTTTAGACTTGTTGTACAATGAACATATCAAAAAGTTTGGCTAAGTGCATTTTTTATGCATTGGAAATAGTCTAGTTGGAGAAAGATTAAAGAGCAATAGTAATGCTGCGAAAATCCAGTATGTTCAGATAGGGACATGGTTCCTACAGTGTTGTTTTCAGACATATAGAGGTTCAAGTGCTTTGGTTTTGTTAATGGAAAGTGACGAATCAACAATGCAACTAAACGAGGAGGATAAAATGTGGCAGTGTGGCAAAGAAGGCCTGAGAAGCAGTGGGAAAAATTGGCGATTTAGGCAATTGTATTATACGGACACAATTTCCCTCAGATGCAAGGGCTCTGATTTCATGTCAGAATACTGTCTTTTCCAAAAAATTTATTGTTTAGAGCGATTGTTCATATTAGGGTTCAAGGAATCCAAATGATGAGGAAACCCCTAAACCTGCTATTATTGTTCCTACCTTCCATATCTAATTATTTGTATGTGTTGATTGCATATTTCCACAATTAATCATATCTTGAATTCAGGTATCTGTTCCCCTTTAAGTAACGAAGGAATCCCAACTATAGAAACGGAAAACAATACTGCTGCTCTGACTTATTCTTTCTCTTTTGACGGTATCTAACTTGACAACCTATCATTTATCATTTCTTTCTTTTCCTTCCTCTCATACCCATTCTAAACTATTGGTCTTTTCCCGTCCAAGTGTTGCTTCCTTTTGCTTTTTGTTTTTGCGGATCTCATTAGAGGCCAAGGAAATGTATGAGTTTAACTATAAAAAAAGGTTTTAGATTTAAATGCGTGTCATCATTCATTTTGGGGCATTATAGCATTGTTTGGTTTGATCCATGCTACCTACCTTACCTAATGTGAAAAGACATTTGACACTGTTTGCCACTACTGTCGTGTTTAGAATCTCTCATTTGTTGTTATTTTGCCGGACCACTATTCCCTGCAGTCAAGAATTTCATGCATTTGGCATTTTTCTGGTAGTTAGATTAAGATCAAATGGCTAAAATTTTAAGTTAAATATTTTCTGTTTAATATAAATTAGAAATAGAATATAAGTTTTAACCATTTGATCTTGATCGAGCGACCGAAAAAATGCCGAATGCGTAAATGCGGAAAAATTTGACTGCAGTTAATGTTTAACTTCAAGTCCAATTAATCTACTGAGCCATATTCCTATAATGGTTCATTTCCCTTTAAAATTAGTATAGTCTTGGTATTGGTATTAACAAGAGTTGGTGTTTAGTTTTTTTTGTGTTATCAAATGATAATCATTAATCATATCAAAATATTGATAATTCAAAGTCTTAATTCTTTCCCTTCCCTTTTATCTAAGCATAAGATCCTGTAAGTTCATCAAATACAGATTAACTTTATTAATATCTAGAGGCTTGCTTTGTATCTAAAAAATGTTACTGCCTGTTCTCTTCTAAATTTATTAATTTCTAGAGGCATCTGCTGCTGTGATTAACATGTTTAACGATACAACGTACTTTTTGAACTATGGTCAATATTTTGTTTTTTAAAGAGGCTGTGGTCAATGTTTTATGCTATGTAAATGCTAATTTTACCCGTAATACAGTTGGGGTTTGTATCCCTGTTTTCTGTTGAAATCCTTCCTTGCAGTTCTAATTTAGTTTTATGTATCTGTTCTGCATTCTGTGAAATTCGGGGTGGTATTTAATCTCAACTATCATTTCCTGACAGGATATGTACATTCGCGTTAAGCGTAGTAAGACAACGTATTTCATCCGGTGCAAGCCATCTGACAAAGTTCTTGACATTAAGCAAAAGTTACAAGAACTCATCGATCAACCAGCTAATGATCAACGATTAAGTCTTCCTGATACAGGGGATGTATTAGAGGACTCTAAGACTCTGGCTGATCAAAAGGTACACTGCTATTTAATTCTTCATGTCTTGTACTATGTGTATATTCTTTTTATAGTGTTAGCATTTAGAAAATACCTAGCTGTTGGGACTTTTTTTCATCTATTCTTAGATTCTACATAGCCTTAAATTATTCTGCTTGGTTCTCACACGACTATGACCTAGATGCTAACAATTTCTATTTTTTTTTTAACCTTTCAGATTGAAACTGATGCTGTTGTTGCATTGACCTTGAGGAAAGGTAAAATGTATATCATTAGCCTAATACCTACCACCATAATTTTCTTCCTTCATGCATAGTTTATTCACATTAGGGATCATTGGTAACTTAATCTTTCAGTTCTTTATCCTAGTATTTGTAAATTGCAATGCAGATAATTATTTGACATGGTTTATCATTTAAATTGCCGACTCCACTTAGTAGGATAAGGCTTGGCTGTTGTTGTTTATTATTTAATAAACTAAAGTCCCTACCACTGTTCACCCGAACAAAAAAAGTGCTTCCTTGTTCATTTTCATATCATCTGAGCATGTTTATCTTTTTTCATAAAACATTTTTAGCCTTTAGGTTCTACTCCATTTTCTTCAAGGATGATGTACAGCCTATCCTTATGCAACAATTGTAAATTTTTTTAATATTGTGGATTGTGACATAACGATCCTTGACATTTTTAGCTGAAATATATAATGAAAATATATTCACCTTTTTTTTTCTCCAGATGATAATGAGTTCGAGGAGGTCAACATTGTTCGGCCAAATGATTTCTATCAGTCAAATGCAGAGGGTGCCAGTTGGTAATTGGTAAAGCCATACTCGACCAAAGACTGTCACAACTAGTTTCTTGATAAGTGCTAATCCTGTTAATTTTTCAGGTGACTTGGTGAATTCCATAATGACTTTGAAACATTTTCAAATGATTGATAAATTGTAGAGATAAATGATGTACTTGTTTACATTACACCGAAACTTTGCCTTAAGTAAATATAGCACTCTCTTACTGCAAGGATTCTATAATGGTGAATCAAATTTGTGGTTAAAGGTCTAGACTGACCTTAAACTGATATGATGCAATAGGATTTATAATAGACTCAATTCATCTAGTAGACACAAGCCATATACATAGTATTGGGGGAGTTAAAGTTTGAATTTTCTTATAAAATTCAATATATGTTTTTTTTTACTCTATGTGGTTAATTCATTGAGCTTTCTACGTTGTTGTTTGTTTGCATGTTTATTTCAATGGGCTTCATTTAAATCGGTAGTAAGAAATTCTAAATTTATATTTTCATTATTTTGATATAAACATTGACCCAAATAAAGATTTTTAATCACAACTTTACATTCATCTGTCTGCAAATTTTGACTAGCAGGATTTCAATACAACTTCAGTAAAGAAATGCATACGTATATACTCTTTTAGATAGACATTGTTTGTAAAATTTTATAGCACCTATTGTGAAGATTATTTCTTTACTCGTTGAAAAATGTCCGATTTCCAAAATAGTTTGCATTAAAATTCCAGCTTTAATGTTTCTTTTACGATTAGATTATACTGATTTTAAATTGAAATTTGAATATTCAGTTGATAGTATTGATTATTCTATTGGCTAATGAGATGATATTAACTAATTTTACTTTAAAAAGAAAAAACAATTATGTCCAGAAAAAAAGAGAAGAGGAGATAGTACCTAAAATAGCACGTGAAAAAATGATTTTGGTCTCTTTATTTTAATTTAAATAAAATTTAAAAATTTCCATCTCTAAAATTGATTTTATGATCATTTTTCGCAATTTATAGGATTTTATTGGTTTACTATTTTTCATGACGTTACAATAATAGATACACGGATTTTAAAATGGAACATTGATACTTTGTAAAACATAATATCTTTTCATGGGAAGTTTTATATGGGTTCGATCTAAAGATGGACTTTCATATTTTCAATAAAATATTTTTCATTTTTTATTTTTACCATTATAAAATTTGTTTTTATTATAAATGGTAAAGATACACTTTAAACTATATTTTTGGGGTCCATTTTGAATTGATATTTTCTTTTATATTTGAAAAAAAATGTATATTTTTGTACAAAGCATTGATATTTTGAAAATTTGATAATTCAATTATTCAATTTCACACCGGTATGTAAGTTCGATGGATAAGAGAAATGTCTCATACCCGTAACACCTTAAGATTTTGAGTTAAATATGTTTTTGGTCCTCTTAAATATCTCAATTTCTTTTTTAGTCCCTCAAAATATTTCTTTCAAATAATGGTTCTCCTAAAATTTTCCATCTACACTTTTAGTTCATAATACTAAAATCGTCGCTAAGTAATAAATCGTCGTTAAAACCGTCGCTAATTCTGTTGCTAAGTTGTAAAAACCGTTGTTAATTTACAAAAGAACAAAAAATGTGGATGAAAAATTAGAGGAGTATCATTTTTTGAGAGAAATATTTTGAGAGACTAAAACCGAAAATTGAGATATTTAGGAGGACCATAAATATATTTAATCTTAAAGTTTTTGAAAAATATGTGATGTCAAAGTTTTCTGTATTCTGAACGTTTAACTCGTTGGCATTTCCGGCGCTCTTCAAATTTTTTAATTTATTTTAAAATATTTTGATTGTATTTGTTGTATTTAACTGTCTTTTAGACTTTTTTGGATTTATTTGGAGGTTTGACTTAGTATGGTTTAGGTCTCCAATATTTTAAATTTCTTTTATTTTCATTTTATATATATTTAGTTCATAAAAAATTGTAAATAAAATAATTTATACAAATAGTAAAACTAGAAAGTAAAAACCACACTAAAACTTGTATTCCTTTTTATATATTTCAAATATACTAATACGTATCTATATAGATTTGTAGCTAGATAGATCATAGGATACATGCATACATGTGTGTAAGTAAAACATACTATATAGCTCACCAACTAACCACAAAATGTTAGTAAAAATTGGTTGAACAACCACACACAAAACCTGCCAATTCAGCTCAACTTCCAATTAACCAGCAACAATTTTCAAACCATCTTTCATTTCTAAAACCTATATTTAAACATATTATATCATGCTTTATTTGCATCCATATAGTTAACAATAATATATTTCTCTTGATATTTTTTTGTTGTTGCAATGGCTAGCAACGGCAAAATGGTGGTAAACGAGCGTTTCGGAGCCGAGATAGTACACGGTTCCGAAAACTGCTTCAACCATTCGCTACAACTCTTGGAAGAGCTTGGATTTCCAAAGGGTGTTCTTCCCTTGAAAGATCTTGTAGAATGTGGAATAGTTAGAGAAACTGGCTTTGTTTGGATGAAACAAAAGGCACCAAGTGAACATTTCTTTGAGGGGACAAAGACTCTTGTGAGCTATGGAGTTGAAGTCACTGCCTATGTGGAGAAATTCAAGATGAAGAAAATGAGTGGAATTAAGAGTAAGCAAATGTTTGTTTGGGTGCCTATAAGTGAAATGAGTGTGGATGGATTTGATGGAAAGAAGATGTATTTTAAGACTCCTATGGGGATTGGTAAGTCTTTTCATGTTACTTCTTTTATGAGTGTTGAGGAAAAGGAAAAGTATAAGAAGTTGCAATTGAAGGATAAGGAGGTGGAGATTAAAGAAAATTAATTGGCGACTAATTTCATTACATTTTGTATTTTTATTTGTTTGTTTTTCTGGATTCATGTATGTTATTTGACTATTTGGTTATTATGAAACTATAGATGAGCATAGAGTGAGATCTTTTTATAGTTGGAATTTATCAACTATAAATTATGATATATTTACTGTTTTATTTTTTCTTTAAAACTATATATGTATAAGCTTTATCGTTTTGAATATACATTAATGAAAACTTCTTATGCGAATTTCCTTTTAAAATTCTTTGAAATAACTTTTTGTGGTATTTTGGATCGAACTCTAATGCTGATATGGAGAACTTGATATTTCAACAGGAGTTGTACATGTTGTAGTCGAAGTCTGTTCAAGTATGCTGTTGAAATATATTAACTTGTAATTTAAGTTAGTGTGTCGAATTGAGTCTTACTTGTAAGCCCAATTGTTCGTCAATATTGCAATCGAATAGGAATTGGAACCGCTTGGGAATTGGAATTGTAATGGCCGATGATAAGTTGGGAGTCAAACCGGTAGATTTACCTGTTTTAATCACTTATTTCAAAAATCACTTATTTTTACCATTTACTTTCTTAATCGAATCCTAATCAAACAACCCCCCCAAGTCGTTTCAATTATCTATTTTATAAATAAGAATTCTTGTGAATCGACATCCGAGTTACCGTTGTTGTTACTACGTTTAATTAAAATCACTCGGTTTTGATCCGCGCGCGACAGCGGATCAGTTCCCTCCCCATCTTGTTCAGGGTATCTGTCTGCTTCTTGGATAGGTGAGTGGCTTGATTCTTCGCACTTCTAAGCTGAATGACCTCCTTCTCCAACTCTTCGTTCACTCTGTGTAATTCTTCCTTTTCAACCCACAGTTGATTGTACTTCTGGATGTCAACTGTCGTTGGTTCTTCAACTACCAGAGGATACAAAGGCTCCCTGACTGGAAATGGTAGCAACAGTCTCTCAACTCTCTCCTGGATCCATTCCACATATGGTCGATAGGCTCTGCAATCGCTCTTGCCCCAAGAAGATTTTCCCTTACGGTGAATCTTACCCCAAGCCTTTTCCAATCTGATTAAGGTCTCATTGTCAACTAAACCGGTGAAATACAGAGATTACTGTATTTCCTCTTCCCTTGGAGGTTCACTTAGAGTGTAGCCAAACTGTCTGACGGCGAGAGCAGGGTTATAATTGATGCCACCTTTGTGCCCAATCAAAGGAACATTGGGGAACTCTCCGCAGATGTGAACAATCTCCATACCCAAAAGGTCTCTGTTAAACCATACAATATTCTCTGACCTTAAACCCATAAGTCTTTCCGGCCAATCAACAGTGTCTACAATATCAGTAAAAGGTCCATACTTAGGCAGATGTGAAATAAACCATTTGTATAGCAACGGAGCGCAACAAGAGACATTCTTTCCTCGTCTGTTCTCATTCTTGTAGTGGATTGAATGATAAACATAACCTAAAAGGGTTGGCACAGGATTCTTAGAAGTAAAGATATAGAAGGCATCCAAGTCAACAAAGTCAGGTAAGTTGGGAAACAGGACTATCCCACAGATGCACAAAGCCAGGATAGCGCTGAAGACCACCCAACATCCTTCCTTAGCGAAATGTTGAGCTTTACCCACCAAGAATGGAAGTGGAAAGCCAGAAATTCCAATTCTCCAAACCAAATTACCTTCCAACTCAGAAACATCGAGATGAAGAGTGCCAGCCAACTTGGATAACTCGGGCTCCTTCTCAGAGTGCACAAAAGGCACCTCTTCCAACAGGAATTCCTATTAGTTGAGCAAACTCTTCTAAAGTTGGCAATAAAACATATCCTGGGAACATGAAGCAATGCAACTGAGGATCATAAAATTGCAGCAACGCGTAAATGCCATCTTACTCAGACTTAGAGGCCTTACAGACAAAACTCAGAATCCTCCCATAATCTTTTCTGAAATCTTCCATCACACTACGATCAACCACAGAAATTAGCTTAAGCAGAGGTCTTATCTCTGGCGTCGGGAACTTGTACAACACACTCTTCTTCAAATCAGGCTCCATAACGACAGTGGATTAGATTACTAGAATCAACGAGAAAATATGCACCTGAAACACAAATACATGCAAATGAATATGCAAATGCAACAGGGGATCAAGATTGCTGTGTTGCTGACTGAGTTGGAACAGAGCTTCGCTTCAGCGAGAAAATAACATAGCACTGATATAAGGAACCCACTGTATCAAGGATCAAAAGTTCACACCGACGAGAAAACTGGGTAGGTTGAAGGTCAAATTTTCCTGCATAACCCTCCCCCTTACTAGTATGAACCTAACCTCTGATAAGGTTCGGTATCCTATGCGGTCGTCAGCGTCATAGACTTTCGAGAACCGATGATACGTTCACCATTTCTATTTTGGCATCATAGTCAAACAAAGAGGCCTTACTTAGCCGACTTCCAAATTATCGGTCTCCATAGTCGACAGCTTCCAGATCCAACACCCCCTCCCGACTAATGTATAGGATGGAATGTCTTCAAAGAAAACCTCGTCTGAACGCGAATTTCGTGAGGACTAATGCATGCTGAAACATACAGGTCCAATACTACTTTCCGCTCTAATGCTATGGATATCCTCGAGCCTGGGTTTTGGCTTATCACTCAAAGGAACAGTCCCATCCAACAGTACAACAATGACAGATAAAATAATAAAGTGCAGAAAATGTAAATACAGCAATATACAACACACACATATACAAACCCACAAAAAAACAACAAACGTTAGGATTGACTCGCATAGAGGATGGGAAACGTTCGCCAACATAGTCGTCAGCTGTCGCATCGTTGCGAAAAAGGGGCTGGCAAAGACAAAAGAGTCTCCACCATTTGTTATTTATCCCAAAGAGAGGGAAAGGAAACGATCAAAGAAAACATATGAAAAAGAGAAAAGATAGGTCATCGCAACCAAATCTTGGGTTCGGGAGTCGGTTATGCAAGGGGAAGGTATGAGCACCCCTCACGTCCATTGTACTCAACGGGATCCACGCTTGTTGTCTATCTAAAAAGGTGTTAACTATCTAAAGGCTGGTACACAAGTACAAAAGAAGAGAAAAGAGACTCGATAAAGCATCGCCGCTTTATGCCTACGTATTCCCTCGTGCAATGGGAAAGTCAGAGTCAATGTAGTTTGGAAAACTAAGGGTGAAGGGGGGAAAGGTTGCTCGCCAAGACATCGTCGTCTTGTGCCTACGTACCCTCATCTGGTATGAGAAATCAGAGCAAACATAGTTCAGGCAACTACGACCATAGATTGGTTTAAGTGTTTTAACTGAGTAGGGTTAAATCTTCGTTCTAGCAGTTACGGACGACGTCTGTTTGCGGTAGAACCAAGACTTAACACACTCTTTCTGAAAATGTTTTGTTTTGTAACTCATGTTTCCCTAAAGACTATGACTTGAGAGCGAATGCGTCGCATATCACCCAAAGGGCATACGCTAAATACTCTAGACAGTATGAGAGGAGGCCCCCCAACCATCATTCCTCAAGTACTTAAGGCTCGTAGCGTACAACATTTATTATCCTTTATTAAGTGTCTTATGAAAATTAGGAGATGAGAAGAGAAGACACAAACTCTAAAGGGAAACTAGATCAACCCTAATATTATCATGCAAAATGCTCCTAAAGTTGGGATTGAAAAGGGAACTACCTATTGTTATCATGCAAAGGATTAAGCGCCTAATTTCTCTCCTACTCCTATCTTAAACAGAGGGACTAGGAATCCTAAGGGATCATGGCAAGAGACCAAGTAAATAACAGATAATTCAATCACAGATGAGATGAAGAATGAGAAGAAGTTAACTTAAACAAGTCAAAAGCAATGCAAACATGATATGCAGAGATGCAAAGAAAAGATGTAGGATTCAAATGATGCATCAAAGACCCAAACAAAAGCAAATGGCTTAAGCAAGATGACTTGAACAAGCCAAAGAAGAGTGAGATGAAATGGAAGAAGTAATAACTTCTACAACCATTCAAACATCAATCACTTAGACAAAAACGTAAACACAAAGCAAAAGAAAAATCCATGATAAAGAGAAAGGATGGGAGAAAGTAGCTTAGGCAGCAAGCAACCATGAATTAACTCAACCAAACATCTCACATTGATCATGAAGAAGAAAAGAGCAAACCAATGCCAGAAGTGATACATTATTCAAGACAAACTCAAAGCATAAACATGAATACCAAATCATCTTGAATAATGATCAAAACACAAAGGGGAAGAAGTGAATCCAATAAAGGGAAGCTCAAATTAAGATTGGAAAACAAAGCACAGTCAAGAGCAAAGTCACGGCAAGTGAAAGAAACAAGGTTCCACCACCAATTCAACACTAGAAAACAAGTGGAAAGGCCTAACTTTCAAGTAACTTGCAAAACAAGTTACACAAGTGTATGACCTAAAATCAAAGAACCAACACCTTAATTATTTCATAAACAAACATCAAAACTCATAAGGTGCATATGGGGTCCATAGAAGTCATCTCCCAAAGGAACTAGGTCAAACTAGTTTGTATGAACATCTTCTAAGATGACTTGACTTGCAAGCTTCATCAAAAATAGAAGGATTGCTCAATAAGTTCCAAATAAAAAGCATAACAAAGCTAGGTCAACTAGCAAAAAAAATCCAAATTCTCAAGGTCAAATTCATCTCAAGGCATCACCAAACAATTCAAGAATTGATGGTGCTCCACCTTATCGAGCAAATGTCGAGGGACAACAAAAATCAATTCAAAGTCAAATGAAAAATAATCAATGGCCATTCAAAATCACCCTCAAGGATGCCTCAATCCCTCACCTAAGTGAGGGAGAAGCCATGATCATAGGGGATAAGGATTTGAAGTCCAAAAGATCAAGACCACACAAGGTATACACCATAAAAGTGATCCAATTGCAAAATTGAAATAAAATAGCAAACTAAGATAAAATTAGGAACAAAAATTATAGAAAATTAAATAA